AATGCCAAACCCCGAACAACACTCATATAACGATTCTCTCACCCGAAGAGGCCAATTGTTACCACCATGGGCTGGCAATCCACCATTGTCTGGAATTAAAGAATTAAATGGCAAATTCGTGTACTTAATTTTGCCAAAGCATATTTCACGAAAAACATCATTTTATTTGCAAGTTATATAAAATCGATCATCGGACTGGTTAGATCTGATGATCTAGTGTGTTTTTCTCGTGTTAAATGGTGTTGCATACTTCAACATGGATAGTTTTCAATGCATCCACACAAGTGTTTTCATATAAAATTGAGGTAGCATAACCATACGTTGGGTAATGGTGCAAAGTCATATGTATAACGGGATTGGTTGGCTGTCATTTGGCTGAGAAAATCAAGTTCATCAATATGGCGTCCTTTACAAAATATAACTAATAATAACACGATTAACTTCAAAAATGGTAGCCCTATACTTTATATACTTAGCCTTCAAGTTTGTTTGGTAGATATAATGAGCCTGTGGTTAAATACGATAACGCTGTTAGAAAATGATCACAGATAACATTCATGTCACTTGTCTGATGTAGACCTCATTTTTTTACACAGACCATATGACTTGGAATAATATATGTCATGTTCCATAAGTTGAGCAGGATGTACTCACTTCAATCAAAACACTTATCTATATCTTTTTTTACTGATTTGACTATATATTTGTCAGTTGTTTACATTTGTCCTATGAATTAGTCGATTTTTGTTCACAGATCTTGTTCCACTTTACAAAGTGCACTAATTATATAAGCATTACATGGTGTTGTACTTATTATCCTATCAGCTTTTTTCTCAGGGTTACTGAAAGTTACCATTTAAAAAAATGATGGAAATGTTTAATATGATTATTTTGATTATTATTATTTTGGTATACAAATTCAATGAGCAACAATTCGCAAATTAAATATAAATAGTTGGAATTATATATTATATCTGTAAAAATGTGTGGATTACCATGCAAATTTTGAAGGGAAAAAAATCTATTTCCTAAAATTGGTAAAAATAGGAAACCCCGGTACTCCAACTTTTCTAATCATAATTTTACTTTCCATCCTCCATTTCATAATAGTACTCAATGGTTTAGTGTGCCATAATCTTTGAATATTAGCTTAATTATGATTCTATGTGTCATTTCTCATAATAGTGTGCGCCGTGCGTCATAATTTTTTACGGTCCCCTTTATTTGGCCAATAGCGACTACTCAAGTCTCGGTTTTTGCAACGCATGTTACTAGTAATTGGCCACTTCTCCCATGGAATTGTGTCTAAAACAATATTTCGGTAAGATTTTGTTATATTGAAACAAAAAATGGTTCAATATCACAGCTATTGTCGCTTTAATCATCAAATACACATATACGTTATTTAAAATATAATCTACTTCCTCAATACCACCAACGAAATATAGGGAATCGCGGGACAATCAATTTAATTACTTACCATTTGAAAATATTAAAATAGTGTTATCCCAGATTCCAGAATCTTTTAATGTTTTGGTAATATTCCCAATACCTTCATCCATACAGGTTACCATTCCAGCCAATGTACGCCGACGTTCATCTTCTATTATGCCATTGTAGAGATCCGAGTATTGCTGTGGAACACTTGCATACTTAGCGTGTACTGACTGGTAAGCCAAGTACAAAAACAATGGCTGAAAAAAATCAATACATTAAACAAAAATTAAACAAACATATACAGACACAGACTGTCAAATAGTGTGTCACATAAACAAACAAAATGATTTAACACACTGGTGTTACAGTAGTGCGCCAATTTAAAGATCGATTTAACGATGAAAACCGTCGAAGAATTCTGAATCAATGTGATGCAGTCGACAGAGTAGAATAAGTACTACATTGTGCTTCATAAATACATAAACACGGCTGTATTACTCACTCCGTCATCGTCGTCATCATGTTCCATAATTATCTTTTGAGCCTCTTGAGTAAATATAAATGCAGAATAATTTCCTTGGTAGTTTGGGATACATCAGTCTCACCTCTTTTCAAATCAAATCCACCACTGGCAGAATGAGTGAAATAATCTTCAGTACAAATGTAAAATCCTAATAAAAAAAGAGTAAGTATGTGCTTTCAACACATGTACGTCTTGACAAAGGTACTTTATTCTGCTACTTTATTATGTATTTTACAATCAGATTAAAATGTTCTTCGTATTTCCTGATTATGCTAAAATATATACTTACCGAAGAAACTATCGAATCCACGTTGTGTGGGAATGCATGCTGGTGTGTAGAATCCCTGGTGCCATTTCCCGACCATATGAGTTGCGTAACCTGCTTGCTTCATTTTCTCAGGTAATGTTACTTCATCGAGTGGTAGACACATTCGTTGAGCAGGCCTTATATTTCTGTGTACCAACCCATACCGCATCTGTGGATTCGAATAAAAAAAGTCTATGATATTTCAGGTTCAGAAACTTATTGACCTTGTTTCGTTTGTTTTTATTTTGTTAACATTTAAGGGAATCATAACTGAAACAATATGTTCAAATAACCGTAAACCAATATGTTACTGCACCATGCCGAATTAATGTATTTTACTTTTCATCGATTGTAAATACAGTGAAACTGAAATACTGAAGCAAACAATGGGTTTGTAAAATGACTATCTTGTTGACAACATATATTTCGTCTTTTGCAGGGCTAATGCCGTGTTTGCATTGACACAGTGCAGCAGAAGTTTGTTCATTTACTGGCCGCCGCCTGTGCACGTGAACCTGTGTGGGCCGCAGACATAATATATATCTAATACAATCTGTGTTCGAACGCACATTTATGGTTTGTCGTGCAATGAAGGTTAATATATTAAATGCACAGCGAATGTATTCACAAGTTATTTGGAACGTCCAAACCAGGGCCGGATCGTCTTTTTTTCCAGGGCCGCAAGCGGCCGGTTTGTTCTGACGCCTAGTAAAGATACGCACTGGTATTTTAAAAGACCTGTATTGCTGGAAAATTTACCCCTGTAAGCAGACTGATTACATGACACATTAGTATTTACCATATGATACATGACCAAGTTGTCATTCACACCTGAATGAGGAACAACTAATATAAAGTACAACTGCAAGCGTGAAAAGTGTTGTAAACTAGTATGAGAATAGTTCTGCGTTTTACAACAAATTAATTACTCAAGTGTTGCCGAGGACAATTGTAAGTGAGTGACAAAATTACGAACCATCAGTACATAGCTTTATATGTTGTTTGTAATGTCCGAGCATCTGCTTACGCAATACCATCACCATCTAGTCATCGTAGGCGGTGTTCACTACAAGTTATTGCGAACTGTTCTTTCCAGTACAATCAGAGAGTCGTGGCGTGTTGTATTTCTGCCTGCATTGGCGAGGCGCTTGCTGTGATTGCCAGTTTTAATTCAGTGTTTCACATTGTAATATATGAGTATTGGTTGGATGTAAATCTTAAATTCTACTCAGAATTGTGCTGGGGGATAAATGGAACTGATTGTAGGTACATGTCGGGTTTTATTCTATACAAACTCACCGCATATCGTCCTGTCAATAGCTGTCCTCTTGATGGTGTACACACCGGTGCAACATAGTAGTTTTCCAACTTGATCCCGTCCGCAGCTAAGCTATTGAGATTCGGTGTTTGGAAAATAGGATTGTGGTAACCAATGTCATTCCATCCATAGTCATCAGCAAAAATGAAAACAATGTTCGGTTGACTGTCACAACGAGCAAATGCAGACAGAAAAAGCACTGGGACTGTTAGAAGTACACTTATTGACATTACTGTATGCATGATACACAATAAATGAACTGAGGGTATTTGCAAAGTGTTTTAATAACCACTGTCTATGCACACTCCCATTTATATGCACTATATAAACTACACGCATTGTTGTCATGTCAACACTCAGCAATCCTAGTTTGATATCAATGAGTTGTTTTTCAATTATTCCCCTTGTTGTAAGGCAAAATTGTCCAAACGCAAACATGAAAAAAATTCCATTCATCATGTCATGACGTTCATTCACCATATTATTATATTATTTATTTTGATCCAATATTTGATCATATATTTTAAGCTTGTTGCTATGAGAGGGTATCTTCCCAACTCTAGTAGGCTTGCTATTTACTTTTAGAAGGTATTTGCAGAAATGTATTTGTACTTTTTCCATTGGTGTAGACAGATTTGTCATTATATTTGTTGATGTTCTCGCTCGTCCAAATTTCACTGCAGTAGAGCATAATTGGTTTTACAATTGTATCGAACATTTTTAAGTATGTTTTGATTGGAATTAGTTTTTCTGAGAATAGCATTTGTTTCATTTTGAAACATGCTTTCATTGCTCTAGCTCTGAGGTCTTCTTGTGCTCCGATGAATTTACCTGATTTGTGTAGTTTAATGCGCCGAGGTATGTGTAGGTTTTTGTATTTTCAAGTTCCTTTCCATCAACATAGAATTTTAATTTGTCCTGTGATTTTTTTGACCTACTAAACATGATGATTTTTGACTTGAGATATTAATATTGAGTTTCCATTTCTTACAGTAAATTTCAAGAGAATTTATGGCATTTTGTAAGCCAATATGTGATTGGGATAATACTACAAGGTCATCTGCATATAACAGACATAGGAGACTTGGTGGGTCATTACGAGCCAAGTCTAATGATGTTTTAATGTCATTTACATAGATATTGAAAAGGAATGGGCTGAGTCCATCCCCTTGTCTAATGGTAAATTGATATCACAATATGGTGAATGGATATCACAGTATAGTGATTGTATACCACAATATGGCGAATAGATATCTCAATATGACGAATGGATATAACAGTGTGATGAATGGATATCACAGCATGGTGGATGGATATCACAATATGGTGAATAGATATCACAATATGGTGGATGGATATCACAGTATGGTGAATGAATATCACAATATGGTGGATGGATATCACAGTATGGTGAATGAATATCACAATATGGTGAATGAATATC